AGTTCTAATATATCGACACCATGAAATACGGACTTCACACATTAACAAACTTGGTCTTGATGTGCAGCGTAGTTAACTGTGCAATTTTAATACATTTAAGTACGCAAACTTATCGAAACTGATCTAATTAAAAGTTCCTTGACATTAACTATCACTATTTTCTTTAATATAGCAGGATAATGTACACTATAAAACAGTGAAAAGCGACGTTTTTATAATCGTTTTCTATAAAAAAAAATCGCCGGCTGGTCAACAAAAAAATCACCCCAAACCTAATCTAATCCAACCTAACAATATCTAATCTAATCCAACCTAACCAAACCTAATCTAATCCAACCTAACAATATCTAATCTAATCCAACCTAACCAAACCAAATTTTATCTAATCAAAGCTAAATTTAACCTAACCATACCAAACTGAATCTAATCTAATCTTAACTACCTAATCTATCCTAATCTAACTTAACCAAATCAATATATTAAGGTTCCTAATTATCCCGAAATCCATTTATTCCCATCAACTTTAAGCTAAAAAAATCTGCAACGTAAAACTAATTTGGTAAAAATTTACTAAAGTTCCATTAAGTGAACTTTTTGTTATTAAAATGTACATGGCTGAGGTTAATTTATGTAATATAGCTGTTTTTAATTAACTACATGATAATTATTCTATACATTATTATTATTATTATTATTATTATTATTATCAATCGAATTTCCAGAATTTTATCTTTGTAATCAATAATTCGGACAATTCTAAGACACTTTTCTTCTATGACATTTCCCTCGCAAATGACCTGTATTTTTACTATTGTTATTGTTATTATTAGCCATTTAATTAAAGTGATACTCGGTTGGTTTATTTAATACTACAGAGAGACTTTTAAACTCATTCAAAGTTATTTAAGTCCCGCATTTAATCTCATTCATGACAGTTTATTTACGTCCGTTTTCTCTGATGCAAAATGAAAGAAAATGAAACTTATTTATGGGGAAACTTCTTTAGTTTGAGTATTTTTGGAGAACACTATTCCTATGGAAGTTGTTCGATTTAGCTATTTTTGTTAACAAACTTTCGTATTATTATAGTAAGTATTTTAAAAAGAGGCGATAATTTGTAATGTTAATTATAAATATATTTTTTTTATCTATATGGTTATAAATCATCTATAGGGCATGAAGGATGAGGGAAATTGCTGGGTGAAACACGGTGAAAACTTATCATATAACACTAAAATGATGTTTGCACGATCTTTGTATGTGAATCAATTAATTATTTACCATAAATACTCCTCCAAAATATCTACCGAGTCACCGTATTTGTCTATTTCGTTACAATCAATCTGCTCTCACGTAAATCAAAATGCAAAAAATTGCACCATGACGCTTCAACAAAGTTGCTTTCATTGGTACCAGATATCAAAGTAAATAGTTTATGTTAAATATGGCTGGGAAGATAGGTAAGATTAGGTAGGTTTCTTTGGTTGGTTTGGTCAGGTTTTATTAGGTTCTAGGAAATGTCACCTCTTTTAAAATATTTATAAAATTATAAGAACATCGGTGGTAGTGTTGTTCTCAGACATTAACTTATTTTATTATGGTTGTAAGATACAGCAATTATTTACTTTAGTGTACTTTATTTAATTTGATCCTCTTGGCCACTGATCGGCCTGTTAGCTGCTTGGGAAGTCTTTCACATCTCTGTTATTGTGGACATGTTACTGGCTCTCTGCTACACTGTTGGCAAGCATGGGCATCCATAGGATTTTTTCCAGAAGGGCGGGTGCATGACAAGACCTGACATCAGTTTATTCAAAACAGATATATACTGTACATCCATATAAAAGTTATATCAAGTATAATTGAGTTACTCTCGAGAACTGTATGATCAGTTATATTGTGGGGTACGTTATGTTTGGTTCACACTCAGGATGGGATGGAGAAAGGAAACTCACAATGTGCTCTCTGTATACATGTTATATTGGATGTACAATGCAGCTTGGTGCTGGGAAGGCAGCATGGTTACAAGCGTTGAGTAGAGAGAGCTGGTTGGTGAGGGTGCTCAGAGGAGGACCAGCTTGTGGGTCGCCGGCAGGAGCGAGGGCCGCCAGGCAGCGGGGTGGAGGAGGTGTTGCTTGCTGGTTGGTGTAGGTAGAATGAGAGGTAGGTCACCACGAGGTCAGGTCTTATATAGCGGAGGTAGGTGTGGCTTAATAGTTGACCTCCGTCATGTAAGGCAGCGCTGGTTGACCTAGACCACGAGGCATACACTGGGGAATTCGCGGGGTCGGCTACTCAGCGACAAACAGCGTTTGTAGGGGAGGTATCCACTACAATATAACTTATCGGTGTCACCATTAAAATTATTAATCACTTTTCAATAATTATCCTAGGGTTGACCTTAATCCTGATAAAATAAGGATGGCCAATGATGGCTGTCTGTCAAGCTCATGACTTGCTCACAACATTAGCAGCATACTTTCCATACTTAAATAAATACTACTGTATAGGCAGAGCTTATCAGCTCCAAAAGGATAAATCACCTCTTCATTGAAGGCTTTCTTTCTATGTAATGTAATGACCACGGTCATACACGTCAGTTATAGTAAAATCAAACGATTCATATTGCACTCAATAGCCCACAAAACATGTAGCTATGCCTTCTTTATTGATTCTCCCCTCTGAGGCGTCCGTTTTCTCACCGCTTCAAGACGCCCGAGTCCCCCGTTTTCCCATTTTCTCTTACTCCCTGAACCCAACCTCTCTATAAAGTAAACCTGAATGTGAGAGAGAACACCATTGTTCTGAGTCAACTTAGATATGTCTGATTACAGTTAAAGCATACAAGATCCTTTGTGAGTGATGTTGAAAGCTTTAACTGTCGTTATTGTTATCAAAACACTTGTTAAGTAAGAAATTCGCTTATGTTGGGAGAACTAGTGGTAACAGCGTGTGTAATGCCACTTTTTCCTGGCAAGTTCAATCTCTGATTAGATTATATAAATAGACTTAAGAAATTCACCTGACCCATGGCATTGATTTTCATAGTTAAATGTACAGTGACCGAGTTGAATGTAATTTCTGTCATTGCGTGATTAGCCTTTCTGGGATGTGTTCCGCACAGGCCTGAGTTGCCAGTTAGCCGTATATAAGCTCGTGGACGGAGGAGCGCCACACCTGTGACGCTTCTCCATCATTATCTCAAGTATGTGTGCGATTCTCCGCCCGCCATATCAAGCCAGTTTAACTCAGTGAATTTTGTGAATATCAATGTTCATGTTGTAACAGGGATATTGTCATTTACCCAGAGAAAGAATTAATGTAACGTAAATATCGTCTGTCGTTGCTGGACAAAAGATTGTTTGTGATTCAGTTATTATTTACATCTCTGACGCTTCTCCATCATTATCTCAGGCACAGTGTGTGTGTTAGCTGAGTACCCAACAGTCACCAGGGGACCGATAGCTGCATACCAGCTGGCTGTATTGGAAGATGTCGTTAATTTGGCAGGATTAAACTGTGTGAGTCCGCACCCTGGGAACTAGGCCCGAACTCCCTCGCAGTGTATCGGACTTCAACCCACCTTAACAGCGTTTTTCGTTTGTTGTGGTGAAACCAGTGTGACACCCTGGGGCACTCCTTACAGTTATATGGGCCAAAGTATTTTTGTTGTACAGTAGTGAACCCATAAATATTGATGTATCAGTTAATATGTTGTGTGAGTTGAGTACAGCAATTGAGGGAAAAGTGCCATGTTGTTCATTCCGAACTAACATGATATTATAAATAATAAGTTAATTTGGGATATTGTCAAGTGTGTCATAGAACCATCTGTAGTGACAATGAAATAGTACAACAATTGTTTAATGATGAAATAAGTAATTGAAGATCTATTTTATGAATGGTAAAGTAAGACCTAAGTGGTCCAGTCTGGTCTGGGTGTACTTAATTAACATCTTGTTCACTCCATATGTTAATAAATATTAAATTAGTAAATTACGAGTATCACCGTTCTATTCCTTCTACCCGTTGGTTCTCAGAAAATAACTATTGTAACTCACGTGCCTAGAAGCTCGCTAGCAGGCTACCGTTGTAAGTAATAAGTGTTATAATAATAATGACATGGTTTCCCAGACTAATTCATGGTTTAGAATATAACTAGAACAGGATATGAAGAGGAAACCAGCGCCCCTTACAAGTCCTGGCAGCTTGTGGGAATAAGTATGAAGTAAGGAAAGTGGCACCTAACACCGGGCTCACAGCTTTCCACTACAGTATATTTGTTTTGCTCTTATATTCATTTGTGAATAATAATATTAACAAATATTATGGTGCCTATACTATAATTATGGAGTACATATTGTACTAGACAAATTATGCAGTTACCCAAATATCATCCTACTGTATGTACTTATAAAATAAAATAAGAAAAAATGCACAATTAATTAAGTTATGTTACAATATGCAAAGTATTTCTGAAAATTTTCAGTTTAACTAACTAAAATACTGTACTATACAGTAGTCAGTTTTGATGACAAGCAGTCACAGCTTCATCATGACCTAACACCAGGTATACACAATTACTGTACTATGATGTGGACAGCATGATGGTCTTACCTGAGTCAGCCAGCCAGGCCCAGGCACCAGTTGTTGCTCTTGACAGAGAGTGATATGATGGTACCAGTGTGAGCTCATGACCTGACCAACACTGGCACCGGTACATTTCAGAGCCAGTTCTTGCCCAGTACTTGCCAACAGTGGCAGATCAGTGGTGAAGTTAAGTAAAGTAAGTCTTAAGGTCGGGAGCGAACACACAAACACAAAGATCTTCACTCACAAGGTGTCCAGTGGTTTAATGATGTGATTCCTAACACGGATGAGGATGATAATTAAATAAAATTAACTGAAGTGTGTTACCATTACTGTCAACACTCACACCTCCCCAGTAGCTACCACCATGACCACAACCATACATGTTGTGAGTATAAAGAAAGAAATCACAGGAGCAAAGAGATTTATTTCCACTTAGAATACAAAAAATATATAGTGTGTACATCATCTGGGCAGGTTGACCCCACAGTGACCACCAGTTGCTGTACCACAACAGGTTAGCTCAGGTACTGTGGTGAGAGTTCTTTTATTATTGATGGACTCATGTAATTAGTTATGGCTTAAACACATTACAGTAGTTGTTGTGATAACTATATTAACCTTGTTATGCCTTAAACACAGTACAGTAGTTGTTATGAGAACATTGTTGAATGTGATAAATAAAAGAGAGATAACAACAAAAGGCAATTTAGGTTGTCATAAACATTCCAAAGTAAAAACAACGACAAAAATTTCAGAAAAGTGAACAAAAGTGAATAAAAGTTAAGAAAAGTGAACGGATTATGTTTGTTAATAAGTAACTGTTATGGACCACAGGACTTCAAAAATAAACCTTAAAAAAGTTGTGTTTCAATAACATTACCTTCACTGTGTTTGTGTACTGATAAAACACACGGGTTATTACCATGAGTGCAGTTATGAAGCCACAGTACAGTATACAGTTACATATGGACTGCATGAATTCTCACAGCACATTACAGCACGGTACAGCACAGCACAGTATATTAATCCACAGTTTACATAAGGTAATCAAAAATCAGTAGGGGTGCACATCTGAAGGCTCATCTAGGGGGACCAAGCACCCCACACCTATATCTGTTGTGCTCGGCTCCACCCTCCTCCTTCACCTGAGTGCACTAACCCCTTCACTACAGGGATGCCACATTTAATATTCTATTTGGTTAAAGCAAGATACATGTATTCATCATAGAGGAGACCTGTATACAAGTGGTCATAAACCTTGTCTCTTAACCTTATCAAGACATCAGGATATATTACAGCATTATGTATAACTTGACACAGGTATGGAATGTTTATATACAGGTAAGAATGATCCCCATAACCACTAGCTGTTACATCTTACTGCCCCATCGCAACATAGAGTCCTGTCCCATCATAGTGCCCCGTCCCATCATAGTGTTCTGCCCCATCATAGTGTCCTGCCCCATCATAGTGTCCTGCCCCATCGCAACATAGTGTCCTGCCCCATCATAGTGCCCCATCCCATCATAGTGTCCTGCCCCATCATAGTGCCCCATCACACTCTCTTGCTGGTCATGGGTTACATAATCTAGATACAGTGAATATATCTTTATTACCATATTACTGTACAATGACACTTCATGAATTATAAGTTACTGAGGCAGGTAATAATATTTGTACCATAAACAAAATACATTACAATAACGACACAATAAACAAAGAATGATGTATTTTATTCACTCAGGTCACAAATTCTTCCGTTGCTAAAGTAAGATCAAGTTTCTTATTAAATGGATCAGTTGTTTGTATCTGCCTCATGAGTTACCTTCAGTGTAGACTCCTCATTTACTCACTTTCCTTTAGCATCCACGTCCCTCTCTGACACATGTGACCAGAAGCCACCACTACTACCCACTAACAATGTCTAGTTTAAGTCAACTCACTGTACTGAGAGCTTCAATATCTTATTTATACATCACAGTAAAACACATGCAGCTGTGTTTCTCTTGGCCACCCTGTTATAATGGTTTACAAGAGTGAAATAAATGTACAATACTCACTATACAGTACAGTATATACAGGCTGTGGTATAAGTCACTTTATAAAGAATACTGCACAGAAAATGGGATTCACAAAAAAAAAAAAGCAAACCGTTTAGCCTTTTTTTTTATTCTATGCGATGCTGATCGTTATTTTTTTAGTGTTTATTTCTTCCATTCTGTGCAATGTCTTAAAGAAAGGAACTTATGGTGCACCCTGTGTGTGTATATATGTATGTATGTATGTATGTGTGTGTGTGTGTGTGTGTGTGTGTGTGTGTGTGTGTGTGTGTCCTTCATTTACAAACATATATAAAAAATAAAAATAAAGTATATCTCTTCAACAACATCTGGAAGAAAGATTTCTGAACGCCACATACGATGAAGACCTCCAGATAATCCTCAACTTAGACCACCGATACCTCGCTCTCACTGCGTTTAAAACACAGTAACAGACGCTGCCTACCATTAAGCACGAGAGCCGAGGCATAGCATTTATCAATGACAAGAGGAAGTCGGTCATTACCACTTTGTGCAAATTACATTCCGGAAAATTTAGGCGAAAGATCTTCAGCCTAGCAAGATCCCCACTCGTGGCAATCTTGAGCAGCCAATCTACCAAGTCTTTCTTCCCACCAAGATCAAGCTCTAAAGTGGTTAAGTTTGTGGCAGAGAGGATAAGTTTGCATGACAATACATAAAGAGCATTAGTAACATTATACTGACTAGAAACACTTAAACATTTCAGGTGTTTTAGCTCATTTAAGCGAATCTCTCGATCGTCCTCTCCTTCAACTTCACACCTCTCACACGATGTTACTAAGGATAACTCTTCCACACACGGACACATGTTGATGAGCTGACACAAAACTCCAACATTCACTTCATTGGTGAGGTGAAACTGTAAGATCTTAAGGGAAGAACCAATTGTATGAAGCGACGGTGTGTACAGACTCAGTAAATCCTCTTTGCTCATGTACACATCAACACATATTGTTAAATATTGGCAACTAATTGTAGTGAGTAACTCCTTAGCATTTTCACTAGTTGACTTAATCTTCCATGGCCCTTTCAATAAATGTAAACTAACATGCTCCAACTTCCTGAACCTTGCAATAATATCATGAAGCTTTGAAGCAAGACAAAATGAAGAAAAGCTCATGTCTCTCAGGTTGTACGTGACCGTTCGTCCTTGTAGGGATATTGGACCATTGCCTAAAGTAGAAGGAGTTATGACAGGAAAGTCAATAGAATACTTGCTGAGAACCCAATTTTCTGAGTCACAGGTAATGCTTTTGATGTCAGGGTAAGAGTATAAGAGGTGGTGTAGGAACTCCCTCACATCTCGATGACTTCCTACATCAATGTATTTCAATTTTGGGAAAGAAAGTTTTAAATTTTCACCATTCTGAATTTTATGATTTACGGCAATTTTGTCCAGACCGTCAAAAAACCCAGCGTACAAGTTCTCCTCGAGGCCCTGACCGCCCATAATGACAATCTCTACGGTCCAGGATGTTGTCTCATACAGTTCACATTCTCTGACGGCAATAATGACAGTTTCAATGTTGGGGGCAGTGTGTCCTATCTCCTGTAAAACACTTCCCTTAGCAAACTCTATTTTCAAATGTATCCACTTTAAACGGGGAGAAAGTTTACAGATAGTACCTATGAGAGATGGGCAATCAAACTGTAACTCACCTGTATATAATTTTTCTATTCCAAAAGGTTGAAGGTTTAAAAGAAAACCATTTAAGTTATCAACTATATGGTAGGGGTGTGGGTGTGGTTTCTCGATCTGAAAGGAAAACAAGAAACAATGAACTAAATGTACAAACTGGTGTGGGAGTAACATCATTAGTCTCACATGCTGGGATTCTCTCTCTCATAAACACTTCATCATTATTCCAGTTGAAAGTTACAATCACTGATCATCAACACTAGTGAGGTCACTCATTTCACCTACCAGTGTTATTAAATAATATTTCACTTCTATAAACTGATGCTGATGGTTCTGTAATACTGTACCATCTAATACTTGACACTGTAAGCAAATCAATGTAACATACAGTAACACACAGCTTTTTACCCCAACATCCTAAGTTGTAAAGTTACAAAATAAATGTTACTTGAGTACATTTTTGGGTATCTACTTTTTAAAAAGTACTCAAAAATTAAAATACTTTTACTCAAGTATGTTTATCTAATACGTTTATTTCAATACAATTGAAAAAAACAAAAATCGTTACTCGTTACCTGACCCAAACAAAGAGTTTTAATGTGTGTGGCAAACTAATGGTATATTTTTAAATTAATTAATTAATTATTTAAGATGTGTGTGGAAACTAATGGTGTAAGAGTTGTGTGGGTGGAGGGTACGGTGTGGGTGGGGGTACGGTGTGGGTGGGGGGTGTGGGTGGGTGGGTGGGGGGTAACGGTGTGGGTGTGGGTGTGTGGGTGGGTGGGGGCAAACGGTGTGGGTGGGGGGGGTGGGTGGGTCGTGGGTGGGGCCGGTGTGGGTGGGGGAGGGTGGTGTGGGTGGGGGCAGTGGGTGGGGTACGGTGTGGGTGGGGGCAGTGGGTGGGGGGGGTGGGTGGGGGGGCACGTGTGGGTGGAGGGTACGGTGTGGGTGGAGGGTACGGTGTGGGTGGAGGGTACGGTGTGGGCGGAGAGGTACGGTGTGGGGAGACACCACGCGGTCACATACCTGGAGGCCTCGTGAGGTGACGTCAGATCAGGTCAGGTGGCAGTGGCCATGGACACCCGCCTTATCCCTCCCTCCCTCCCCCATCAAATCCCCTCTCTTCTCCCCCACCGTTCTGTCAGAAGTCAGTTGCTCTTTACATATACCTGTACCTAAAATGAATTTCAAAGAGGCTGTGATTCTTAAATGCTTGACATAATTTCATTTAAAATGGAATTATGTAAAGCAATTTAGTAAGTACTGTATACATATGTGTGGGACAGGGTGTATTCAAAATTATCTCAATTAACTAAGTACCACTGCCTCCCCCCCACCACCTGCCAGATATTACATGGTGCGTAAAACTCGGCCACTCATCAATTAAGAGTGACGTCACCACAGCCACACCCCCAATTAGAGGAACAGTTCACGGTGAGTCTTAGTCAGACTCAGTCACTATGGAGGCAACAATCATCCACAACTGAAGGAGCTTGAGAGCTACTTGGCATGCCCAGGGGATGAGATGCAGCTACTGAGGTCCTTCCCAACATTGTGTGACTTATCTTAACACCCCACTACCAGCATCTGCTGCTTGTGAGCGTCTATTTAGTCCCGCTGTGCTTATTGCTTGTTATTTAATTCATTTATTACGCCCCAGGAAGAGACAAGCCCGGTCACAAGACCGGACGCTAATACATTGGTACTCGTGTCTCACTACGACTTGTGATATGGAGACAATATTGATATGATTTAAGGACAATGGGAGGTAACACCCACCAAAGTGTGGGTAGTGAACAAGAATTAAACTAAACTATTATGAATAAGTAGGTGGTGACTTATAGTGGTTAGTGACTATGGCAGGAGGTCCCTGACAACAGTGTTGAAGGGTGTTAGTGTTGGGACAGTTACAAGTGCAGGTCATCCCCCCACCTCAGATAGGTCTGTATCCTAACCTAATGCCAGCAGAGACAACATGTCCATAAGTCCACGTTGACGATACTTGTGTGGATAAGGAAGAAAGTGATCATAGTGTTGGGTGGATATATTTACAGCCCGTTCACCGTCCCTGTGATGGGAGAAGAGCGGCTGAACTTATTCTCTTTCAGTAGGTCATGCTGGGCTTATATTTAGGCCCAAAACATCCTGATGGGACAGCCATCAGTTGGAGAATCAGTTATTAATTAATCTTAATTGAAAGATTTTCAAATAAACATGTGTAATGTTGTGTGTCTTTTGTGTTTATCTTTAGTTAACTATTTTTTATAATTTACTGTAGATTAATTTTAATATTTGAAACAAATAATAAGTCATTACTTTTTACTTTCAGTACTTGAGTACTTTATGAATGAGATACTTTTTTACTCCTACTTGAGTACATTGATCTTTGGATACTTTTACTTCTACTTGAGTAACATTTTGTCAATGTAACAATACTTTTACTTAAGTAACAAAGTCTGGTACTTTTTACAACTCTGTGTAGCTGCTCTCATGTGCTCAATGACTTCCTCTCTCCGCAATACAGTACATTAAGAGTCAACACAGTGGCTGCATACTTAGTGAGACGTGATACCACTGTGTTTTTTTACATTGCATTAAAACTCCCAGAATGGCCCCAAGGAATACAAGTCAGGTTAACATTCCACACAGTTGCCACATCTCACAAAATCCACCAGCCACTGTACCAGATATAAGTGCAGGTGACTGTACATCTTCCCAAAGCAGTGGAGATATTTTTTAACAAGCTCAACTAGAAGGCAAAGCTAATGGGTATACTGTAATGGACTATACTGTACTGTACTGTATAACCAAATTACTGATTACAGTACAGTACATTAACCTGATATTGTACTGCAGTTGTGAGGGAGATTCTGATCTGGACTTGGTTCACCATCTTACCTTACTAAACCCAGCTTTTGTGGAGAACATCAGTTCGAGTGTAAGGATGAGTATCGGGCACACACACTGTTGACTGAGGAGCTCCAGCGTGTAAGAACAGCCGCCCCGAAGCAGCGTGCGGAGTTTTGATTCCTGTTTCCCAAACCATCCCTCATCATCCCACCACTGCTTCACCTTCACCATGTGTTCCTGTACAGTACAGTACAATTTATTATATACACAACAATACTTATATACATACATTCATGGAACTTAAGAAAATAACAAATAATTACAACTACACCAGTACAGGACTCTACTGTACAATTTAGTAATTTTATGTCAACTTTTCTACTGAGGTTACTTGAGATGAATAAACTCAATGATATACATTTTTCTTCTAAATAAAAATAACAATAAAAAATTTACTAAAGTTATAACCAAAAGTAATGTTCTTGTCTCTCTATTAAGGAACAGCCAATTATGGTAACAACTTACCAGCAAAAGTTTCTTTTTACCTAATAGATGTTCACAGTGTTCTTCCCCTGCCAAGATAATATCGTCTATGGTGGTATCACAGCTATTAAGGGCACCTAATCCCTCTTCAGTAAACCTACAAAGCTTGCAACTTGCTGAAGCCTCAACAAGGTTCATGTGGGAATTTGTGGTGGACAACTGCAGGTGATCAAACATATTCATAAAAGGCAGGTACTCCTTCTTCAGACTTGGAGGAACAACATTGTCAAGAAGCCTCTGGGCCAGTTGGAGGATCACAAGCTCCTGCAGTGTTTTTGGTGTGGTGCGAGGACCAGGCAGCTGTGACTCCATGACTGTTGCTGTCACTGTTTACTGGTCTTGGTGCTGAGTGCTGGGGAACTGCACCTTCTCAGGGTCATGTTGGGGGCACAGACACCTTGATCAGTGGCTCATGACCCATCTCACAGCACTGGGAATAATATACAGTGTAGGTAAGTGACTAGGGTACAGCACTGTAGTGGGGTATGCTATAACGAATCTAATTGGTTCTGGAACCTTGTTCGTTATAGCATTCGTTTGTTATAGGATTAATCCGTTCCAGGCCACCAAATACAACCACTTAACACTGAAAAATATAATATAAAATTGTAAAAATTGTAAAAAAGTGCATAAATATGCATCTAAACCCCTGAAATAAAGAATATCATTAATATTTGTAATAATAAAACAATAAATTAGAAAAAAAAAAAAAAAAATTAAATTATGTTCGTTGTAGGAGTTTCGTTCGTTATAGCATTCTCAATTTTATAGGTAAAACCGTTCGTTATAGGAATATTCGTAGTAGATCCGTTCGTTATAGCATATCCCACTGTATATAGAATCTTACAGTAGTACTGGTTACATGGGAGTTGAACTACTGTACTGGGAGGACCAATAATGAGTCTGGTATTCTGCACAAGCTAGAGACCCTTAAGCCTCTCATTGCAGCCTGGGGAATTTATGGAAAAGTTTGTAAATCTGGGAGCAGAGGAGAAAAACATTAAAAATCTACGAGAAAACTTTATGTGGGTGGAGTGAGAAGGTAAACACTGACTGGCCCTTAACTCAAGTATTATCTTTTTCGTTTCAAACATTATTTTAGAAGCCGAGTCCACTGTTTACGCCCGAGATGTTTCATCTCATCCACACAAATGCTTCCAAAAACCTACTCCTAAAATGAAACAGTGAAATAAATATATATAGTCAACAATATAAACATTTTAACTTGAGTGAGTTTATGGGTCAAGTTTGGCGCTGTCTGTTTGATGGATTAGCTGCTATGTGGCAGTGGGTCACTTGTAAATTAACTAAGGTTGGGTAAGTCCAAGTGGGGTCACGGGCAGTGGTCAAAGGTAGAGGTCTCTTCCTTGTTGACAGACTGTCTCTCTCCATAGTGCTTCACCCGTCATGCCTGGCCGTTTGTTCTTTCTATTTATTCTTGTCTGATTAGATGTGTTAGGTTGTTTCATTGTAGTTCCTCATGCACCAAGATTAACATTGACATTGTTCTGGTGGGTGTGTCTCATGAGACAAATGCTCTAACTGTAAGAAAATCAATGTATTCACAGGCTGCTTCACCCAAGAAATGCCAAGAAACATTAATATATTACTTCAAATATTATTATGATGGATTTGTTTCATAAATGGGAAGAAGACTGTGAACTGAAAATATCTTAAGGTGGACGTAATGATAAACTGCTTCACTGTCCATGCTAATACAATATTAACATTACTTTTGGGTTAGGTAGGAAATAATTGTTGGTAATATTGTAATTTTGCACCGGACATTCCTACCCCTAATCTATTATCATATTCTAATAAGACGTCTAATTATAAGATAATTTTCATCTCTTACATTACCGGCGGAAATGTATAATAATGGAGATAGTGTATCCAAAATTTTCTCTATTTTCTTCCATTAATCCTCCGCCATTATCGCCTACCTCACCTCCCACACTGCGTGTCTCCTTCATAAAACATCACACACATGCGTTCCCGTACACATCACACGGCCAATCAAAAGCTCTTTTTTTTTTGCAACCAATTAAAATTATTTGTGGTTTAATTTGCAGTATTTTTGGCCCAATCAAATTCGATTTTTATTTTAGGTCTCATATTTCGAAATTCAAATTCATTTCCGACCATGGAAGTTTGCTATGGGTGTCACTTCAATCATCTGGAGCTGATTGTGAGTTTGGGGGAAAAAACGAAGAAACTTTAGCATTTTTAGATCTCGTGGTGTTCTCCTGACCTCAGTAAAGTGTCCTAAGTGCAAGAACGAATGTAAATGTCGTCAAGACCAACATATGTGGCATTGTGGTAACTCCGAAGAACGAGAACCAGGCCAATAAGGTAAGAAATAAGTGATTCCATCATATGGTGAGAGTCAGTTAGGTTAGGTCAGGTCAGGTTTATGTTTTTATAGTGTTCTTGGTGTATTTTGTATTAGCTTAGCCATTATTTTTTTTTTCGGAGAACGACCCACCCCCAAAAAATCGAAAAAAAGGCCAATTTCCGACTGAGGAAAGGTTGCCCATGCCTGGTGTACACCTTAAGTCTACACCCTTAGTCTACACCCTTAGGTTAGCACATGCCTGGTGTACACCTTAAGTCTACACCCTTAGTCTACACCCTTAGTCTACACCCTTAGTCTACACCCCAAGACAATTTTATAACAATAATTTCACAAACACTTTAGATAATTGTACTCATTATTGGTCAACTTATATGCGTCACCAAACACTTAATACACACCTGTGACATTAAAATATAAACGATTAATTCAACCTTCGTTTTGTCTTGATCAATGAGGTGGACTTGTTTACAAAGTGTCAAGACCATGTTGAAGAAGTACCACGAACACTGTCCCTCCTTTAAATTTATATTGACGGTAAGAACCTTCTATAACTATACAGAGGCAAATGAAATGAATTCGATGCGCAATTTAAATATTTTTAAGTATGTAGATTTATCTTAAACTGTGCTAATTAAAACTTCCATAAGATTCATTATCAGATTATTTTAATAGAGTTCAGTGCTTCAGCTCGGTTTTTTCTCAACATTCTTCGTCTGCCCAACTTTAAAACCTTACAGCCTATTATAATTTAAGACGTGACTTATTCTAATTTAGAACTCAACTTAACCCATCCTGATTTAGAATCTTTTGTCTAATCTAAACTTACCGAGATTAATCTAACCTAACCTAAGAGTTCGAACATCAAGAAGACGAAGAAGCATTCAGGACCCAAGATGGACAAGAAGCCTTCTGGACCCAAGATGGACAAGAAGCCTTATTTTATGCTGTCAAAGGAGATCGAGAAACCCCTTTTTGGTAAACGAAGAAGACTCATGAAAGATATCCACTCTCCTACATCCATAAATGTCAGTAATATCCAAGATAGTGACACAGAGAGTACTAGGCAGGTCCCCCGTGATGCTCCAACTAAGGGTACTAAGGAAACTAAGGGTAAGTTATTATTACTTCATTATATCATAGTTATTTATTTTGTTAGTATTAAAATGAGGCCTGTTTATTACACTGTAGGAAAGAACAGTGTGTGCGTGTGTGCCTAGGCTTTGTACAGGTTTAAAGAGCTGTAGGCTGATGGAAAGATAGAACAATGAAGGGAACTCTATTGTCAGAGTTAAAGATGTTGAGGAAGTGAAGGACTATGAGGTAATGTGTGTTTATATGTTCAGAGGCAGCAGAAACACGGCAGATGGATGACGACCATGGCTTTGCTCACATGAGAGAAGGTGAAACACGGCAGATGGATGACGACCATGGCTTTGCTCACATGAGAGAAGGTGAAACACGGCAGATGGATGACGACCATGGCTTTGCTCACATGAGAGAAGGTGAAACACGGCAGATGGATGACGACCATGGCTTTGCTCACATGAGAGAAGGTTTAACAAGACTGGAAATGCAGAAACAGTAAGTATTATATACGATGTTTTGTACTGAGTGAAAGGTCTTCCTCAGATAATCAGAATTCAGTACAGTATGTGGAAAAACATCATTAATATTTTTGACGAGTTTGTTTAGTCATATTTGCATGATGTCATTCTGAGGCATTTATTATTTTTTTTAGTGTCTCCAATATCTGGCAGCACCATTAACTCCTGTTCCTTCATTGCTACTTTCAACTTTTAAAAAAAAATTAAATATTCTACAATGATCGGAGATGCAACGCGCCATTGTGTGACAAACGCGGAAGCTTTCTGGTGTTTAAACTGCCATAAGTGTTGACCTTAGAGCGACGACTGGACAAGAAATACGAGCTGAATAAGATGTCATTATAATTAAGATACCTTATTGATTAGGGCCACTAGGCTCCACGTCCATAGTACCGCGCCGCGTCAAACGATCGGTCCACACACACATGCCGAGTTGTTGGAGTGTCTGTTATAAATTATTGTACTGTAGTTAAGTTCTGGAACTATTAACGTCTTAAGTGACAGGCTCTTTAGGCAAACACTTCTTAAGTATTTTCTGTTGTTTATTCACTCGGTACACTTGGTGTGATCTGAGAGATCTGGGAATCCTCTCGGGAAAAGTCTCAGTAACACATGGAGACTGCCCTTAGTTAAATGAGGCACTTCCCTGTTCAGTAGTTAAGCTTTCTGTCTTAACTAGATGTTACCTCCTTTTATCTATCTTCCCAGGAAGTGTTACATTGCTCTAAGCTTGTCTCACCTACGAGGTGTCACCTCACCTAGAGCTGTTAGCCAACCGGTAGTCAATTTGCCCCCCCCCCTTCCCCAGCGAGGGGGCTAATGGGCACCCCCTTGTATCCTGTGGAAGGGGAAGCTCCACACCGTTTACAGTGCTCAACAGGGAGGAATGCGGAGCTCATGTTTGCCTTCTCGACTGATACATTCAAGGACGTAGATGCCTGAAAGGCCGTGGGTTTTATCGGCAAGTTACACGTAGTGACAGGATGAGTGTGTGGGGGAGGATTCTCGATACAATATATTTATTTATGGCAAGGCGTGACGAGTCCCTAGTCGGTAGTCAGTGTTTAGATACACTGACCTCCTGAAGGTATGGCCCTTGGGGGAATTTGCCAGCTGAGGCCTGAGTTGTTGTGACTAACTGGCCCGTGCGAGGGTTGTGCCGAGACTGGTGAGGCAAACAATTCGTGACAATTGTTATGTGTACGAATATATATATATGTGTGTGTGTGTGTGTGTGTGTGTGTGTATTATATTATATTGGGGTGAATTTCATTTAATACTCGGGTGGTGATACGGGGCAGACGAGTGAGTGCAGGAGGAGAGGAGTTAATAATCGTACCGGATCACCGCGCTACAGGACATTCCATAACTGGTCCTCGGTAACTAGTGGGTGGAGGCTGCCCGTGGGACGATGACTTAACCCCTTCAGTATGCTAACTTAATGTTCTTCAGTATTCACTTCCTGGGTTAATTTCCTTTTTAGGGATTAGCTTTTGCTGTTGTTCTTCTTCTTTTTTGATGATCTATATATATTCCACCAGTTTATTATTTTTAACTTTTAAATTTATATTGTGGCTTTATTCATTAAGACTTAGATGAATGGCTGTACCGTACACAACGGAACAATGAGATGCTCCGACGTAAACACAGGGAGCGGTACTTATCATGAGCAATACTCTACATAATCACATCATCAGAACTGAGGTTTATTTATGCGAGGAAAACGTTTATAAGTGTTATGTCATTAAAAAGTGATTTATCATAAGTAAAAATAATTAAACTTTCAGATGTGAGGCTAGTTTCTATAAGGATAGAGTGTATGAGCGCTGGATGGATCAAGTGACTCAGTTAGCAACACCATTCGACGTGGATCACTGCACCAGCATCCTTAACAGGCAGTACCATTATGCCGACGAGAGAAAGAGGGCGATACAGTGTGTCGAGAAGAGGTTTTGTAAGTGGTTTACAAAAGAGATAACAACAGTGAGGGAGATGATGAGAGACATAGTGCTTTACGTTGTGGATATGAAGAGACTAGGTGGCTGGGGAAGGAGAGATAGGTCGATGTTCCACCATGTGAAAAAATATTATAAAATTATATTCACATTTTGTGATGAACAGTCTCGATTTGCTTTTTATACTAGATACTTATTTCTTAAGTCGTTCGCCTGTAGCATGACCCTCTGCCAGGACTATCTCTTGCCCCACATCAGGGAGAGGGTAGTCGGCAGCTACGCAACCACCTGGCAACAGATGGTCGAACTCGCCTCACAGCTGGATGCAACTTGTCATAAACCAACATTTAAGAGAATTGTGACTTTAGTGAACCTGAGGAAAATGTTGTTCGCTTTGACATACATCGTAGAGAAGACAGTGGAGGTGGTGGAGACCGCTCGACCCATGCTGGCTGTGTTGGCCTCACACAACAGGTTCTGGGTCGTGTGTAAGGACCTGCCTCCATCACTCACCTACTCCATAGTAAAGACTTATCCTGAAGCAAATTTACTCAATATTTATGACATAAACACTCCACCGAGTCATTCCTCCTCCAAGAGCTAGCAAAGTTCTCGGTATAGACACACGTATTTTGCTTTTGTTTTAATTTATTTTTTTTGTTTAACGAGAGAACCAGTGTGTTTGTTCATTACCACACACACACACACACACACACACACACACACACACACACACACACACACACACACACACATTAAGAGCGTATAGTAATTCACGTAAAAGGACAAGTTAGGATTATGTTAAGTGTACTTATACCGTGAGAGGGAACTGGGTGATTAGTGATTGTGGGTGATGATGGTGATTGGTCAGGGTGATGATGGTAGCAAATGATGGTTGTTGATGATTAATGATGTTGGTAGCAGGTGATGGTTGATGGTGGTGATGGTGGTAGGAAGAGAGGCTGTAGAATAAGAAAATCAAGACAAGAATATCTCCATCGTTCTCTCCCTCCCTCCAACACCCCTCTCCATCTCTCCTCCCCAACCTCCCACCAACACTTCTCGTCCTCCCTCGCCGTAAACCAACCTCTCCACACCGCGTCTCATCCAAGCCATGACCTGTATGAAAAGTATTGGTACACAAAAGTCTCAAAAGTATTTAAAGTATATGAGAATTTTTTTGAGTTGTAAGGAATTTTTTTGAGTTGTAAGGAATTTTTTTGAGTTGTAAGGAATTTTTTTGAATATGATCGTAATATGAGTTAATTTAGGAGCGTTTTATAAAAGATGTCATTTGAAATATTAGATAATACTGAAATATTTTATACGATGGTTTAAAGTTATTAGATACAGTTGAAATGTTTTGATATACATGAATACAAATGTTTTATGTTATATAATGAGTGTGTTTAGCCCTGATGTTTGGATGTTTTAGGATAAGGTTTTAATTTTGATGTTTTCATGTTATATAAAATAAAAAGGATCGTTTAAATTTATAGGAATGTATTTTTAACCCAGAAATGATGAAATGATTATGTGTATGTTCGGGATCGTTCACTTTAACACCAAGAATAAGACTTACTAAATTAAATACAAGAGTCAGATGGTGCCCCTTAGCCAGGAAGGTCACAAGAGGTCAGGAGAGGAGGGGATAATTTCATGTTTTTTTTTTTAGCCTTGTTTCAGGTTTATACATATTTCATAAGTTAAATTGGTAAGTGTAAGCCAATTCTTAAACTCCCTGGATTATTGTTTATCTACCTGTATATCCATTAATCTTATCGAAATAGGCTAGCTTTATCAACATTTGATAGAGTACCGCATCAGAGGCTTCTGAGAAAAATTAAGGCTCATGGTATCGAGGGGAAAGTTATAAATTGGATAAAATCATGGCTCACCGACAGAACACAGAGGGTCAGCGTAGATGGTGTTAAATCTGAGTGGGGCTGTGTAACCAGTGGGGTTCCCCAGGGGTCAGTACTAGGCCCACTCTTGTTCATAATCTACATAAACGATCTAGATACTGGGATCAGCAGTGACATAAGCAAGTTTGCGGATGACACCAAAATAGGGCGGCAGATTAATTCAGGGCAGGATGCAAATGCATTACAGGAGGATCTAAATAAACTGCAGGGGTGGTCTGAAAAATGGCAAATGAAATTCAACACCAGCAAGTGCAGCGTACTTAATATTGGAAGAACAAATACTTATAATGTATACAGCCTTAACAACATCAACCAAGAGAAGTCGACTTGTGAAAGAGACCTAGGGGTACTTGTAAGCCCGGACCTACGGCCTAGAAAACAGTGCGTTAATGTTCGAAATATGGCAAACAGAGTATTGGGTTTTATATCTAGAAGTGTAAGTAATAAGAGTGCAGAGGTCTTATTGCAACTATATCTTGCGCTAGTTAGGCCGCACATCGATTATGCGGTTCAGTTCTGGTGCCCTTATTATAAAATGGATATCAATTCACTGGAGTCGGTGCAGCGAAGAATGACGAAAATGATTCCGGGACTTAGAAACCTTCCATATCAGGATAGTTTGAAGAAACTAAACTTGCATTCCCTAGAAAGACGAAGAGTGCGGGGAGATATGATAGAAGTATTCAAGTGGGTGAAAGGAATCAATAAAGGGGATATAGATAAAGTTCTTATAATATCCGAGCAGGATAGGACTCGGAGCAACGGATTTAAGTTGGATAAGTTTAGGTTTAGGAGGGAGATAGGAAGGAACTGGTTTACAAATAGGGTGGTGGACGAGTGGAACAAGCTTACCAACTTTGTAGTAAGTGCTGGAACGCTGGAAAGTTTCAAAAGGAGGCTAGATAGATTCATGGATGATAGAGAGTGGTAGTAACTCTCGACAGGAGCTGCCATGCACAGGCCAACCGGCCTATTGAAGACTCCTTATTTTCTTATGTTCTTATGTCTTGTAACTGACACTCCTTTGTATGAACCCAAGAACTCATTAGCCTTGTTTCGAGCAAATACACATTGTTTACACACACCACCTCACTACCCCTACGCCACACACTACCCCAACATCACACACTCACACACTTGCCTGTTGTCCCCCACCGTCACGGGAGAAGGACTATAGGAATCCATGTTTGCCGCGCCCCGCCCTTGTCCTGCAGTTGTGACCACGATCCCTCTACCACATAAGAGGATTGTCACCAAACTTGTACAGTAGTGTGGATAAATCGTAACAAGATCCCTGAAACTGTGGTTAATGAGTTATTTCTGGTTACTGTGATTAAATTCATGCCACCATTAGTGTAGCGTGGTGTGGTGAAGGGAGTGGGGTGATGTGGTGAAGGGAGTGGGGTGATGTGGTGAAGGGAGTGGGGTGATGTGGTGAAGGGAGGGGGGTGGTGTGGTGAAGGGGTGGTGTGGTGAAGGGGGAGGGGTGGTGACGGTAAGAACCTTCCATAACTATACAGAGGCAAATGAAATGAATTCGACTTAATTCAAATAAATCTAACGATAATGTTCGTAATTCAAACATTAAAAGCGGTTTCGATGCGCAGTGTACAGTAGTTGTGCAATTTAAATATTTTTAGGTATGTAGATTTATCTTAAACTGTGCTAATTAAAACTTCCATAAGATTAATTATCAGATTTTTTAATAGAGTTCAGTGCTTCAGCTCGGTTTTTTCTCAACATTATTCGTCTGCCCAACTTTAAAACCTAACAGCCTATTATAATTTTAGACTTGACTTATTCTAATTTAGAACTCAACTTAACCCATTCTGATTTAGAATCTAACTTTGTCTAATCTAAACTTAGCGAGATTAATCTAACCTAACCTAAGAGTTCGAACATCAAGAAGACGAAGAATCATTCAGGACCCAAGATGGACAAGAAGCATTCAGGACCCAAGATGGACAAGAAGCCTTATTTTATGGTGTCAAAGGAGATCGAGAAACCCCTTTTTGGTAAACGAAGAAGACTCATGAAAGATATCCACTCTCCTACATCCATAAATGTCAGTAATATCCAAGACAGTGACACAGAGAGTACTAGGCAGGTCCCCCGTGATGCTCAGGGAGGGGGCGGAGGGAGGGAGGGAGTACAAATATCATCTAAAGTTACAATAATAACCTTTAAATGTTGTTCAGTATCACCATCCTTATCTCTCCTCCGTGCTAGATGATGTGTGTGCGTGTTTGCCCGACTGCAAACCGACGCAGATAAGCGTCAGTGCCGGAAAACCGGCTGCCGCCACCGCCCCTTTCTCAGTAGATGCAGCCCTCCACACGTGCAACATCTGTGATCGACTCTGCCGGTGCAGTATCGGCCTCTTTAGTCACTTCAGAACTCACCAACGAAGGTGACATCCTTAATAACTCATATCATCGTATCATGTGTGTGTGTGTGCAGGAGCTTCGTCTGTGTTGTGTCTGTGGTCAGGTCGGCAGTAAACATCTCGTACACCACCTGCCACACAGCTCTCATCAGTACCACAAGATACTTGATAATTAGACGTCTCAGCATACAACAACCTAACCTAACCTAACCCCCCATAGGTAACGTTAGGGTGTTTAATGAAGTTAAATAAGTGGGGGGTGGCTAATCTTCGTGACCCATTATTAACGCCTCATCTGGACGCCTCACACAGACCTCATCTGGACGCCTCACACAGACGGGACGACGCCTCATCTGGACGCCTCACGCAGACGCCTCATCTGGACGCCTCACACAGACCCTCATCTGGACGCCTCACACAGACGCCTCATCTGGACGCCTCACACGCCTCATCTGGACGCCTCTAGACGCCTCATCCTGGACGCCTCACAGACGCCTCATCTGGACGCCTCACACAGACGCGCCTCATCTGGACGCCTCACACACACTCATCTGGACGCCTCACAGACGCCTCATCTGGACGCCTCACACAGACACCTCATCACTGGACGTCTCACAGGCCTCATCTCTTCATCTGGACACCTCACACAGACGCCTCATCTGGACGCCTCACAGAGCGCCTCATCTGGACGTCTCACACAGACACCTCATCTGGACACCTCACACAGGCGCCTCATCTGGACACCTCACAGACGCCTCATCTGGACGCCTCCACAGACGCCTCACAGGCGCCTCATCTGAACACCTCACACAGACGCCTCATCTGGACGCCTCACACAGACGCGCCTCACACAGACGCCTTTACAGTTATTATGGTTAATCTCTCTTCTTTGTTGACACTGAGATTATTCATTTACCTGAGACTACCTTGAATGATGGACACCTGTCATTATATTACCTGTGGAAGGAGGGAGGAGAGAAGTAGAGAGGAGGAAGGGGGAGGTGAGGGAGGTGAGGGAGGGAGGGGAGGAGGGAGGGAGGGAGGGAGGGAGGGGGAGGGCAGGGTGTGAAGGAGGGAGGAAGGGAAGGGTGACGTGTGTAAAGAGGGAGGGAGGGAGAGAGGGAGGGAGGGACAAGGTGTTGGACGGAGAGGAGGGGGGTAAAATGTGGAGGGAGGGAGGGAGGGACCCGTGCCACACCCCACCCCAAGACACGGTGCCAAGTTGGCTTCCAAGAGTGAGTGCGTGGCATTGCAGTGGGGGAACCTGATGTGCTCTGGTGTGGAACACTTCTCTGGGTTGGTGTGTTAGTGTGCGTGTGTTGAAACACCATGTGGTGGCGTCAGCGTGGAGGGTGTACGGGAGTGAAGGCAGGTGTGAGAATACATAGTGTGAGGGCAACATCGACGTAGACCAGACAGAGCGCCGCGTGTTCACCTGCCCTAAACACGATCAGGGAAATGGCCAGCTTGACTACCGCCTTCCGCCACTGTTCCCTTCTTAGAAAGGTAAATATATATGACCGGAGCCAACGTGTCAACTTCTCCTATTAGATAACTTAACCTAATCAATCTCACCGGTAAGATAACTTAAGACAATCAACCTCCGTCCCATTTTGTAGTCACAGCTGAGAAGAATGTCAGTGATTGTATGGCACAGGCGACCAAGACGTCCCTATGCACCTGTAGTAATTGATAATCTAGATATTTACTTTGTTTCACCGACAGTAAATCTTAGTAATGCTCACAGTGAGTGGTGGGAGTGGAGATATAACGCATAGAACAAAGTATATAACAAAAGTGTGTATAACAAGAAACAACTATTCTGTTAGTTATTGCAGGTGCACAGGACTTTTCCATCACCTAGGACTAGTATTTTCTGACTCATTGCTAAATATGAATTCAGTTTCTTTGTTGATATTCATGTGTATACGAGTATTTTACCAAATATTTTGTGGTGAAATTCACAGCGACTGGGCCCCTTCTCGGGTGTTACTTGACGCTATCAAGAGACAAACTACCTAAGTCTTTACATTCACATTTCTTCTAATTTCGTAGCCTAGACTAGTAACTCCCACACCCTGATGGCTGCTGCAAGTACTGGCTATTGTATTCTCGCCATAACTGCACCATAAATTTACGTTTAATAATAATAATAATAATAATAATAATAATAATAATAATAATAATAATAATAATAATGTATTGTTATTTTTTTACCCATTTAACCTCACTGTTTGGCATAACTGAATTGTGTGGTTTAGTGATTCTGTACCGGACAGGTGCCAACTGAACTGTTTTAATTCACATCAAAATTGGATCACAATAAATATGTTGGCCTTCTTATCTAATTTATTCTGGTTACCGCCAGCTTTAGTACCCGAGAAAAGTTAAAAAATAAAACAATTTAATTCGTTCTGTATTTGAGCTCACTTCTGCTAACGAACGTTTATGAATAGCGAAGATAAATAAAATTACGTATACTTTTTATTTATAATAATTGTATGTTACAGAGTGCTTTTATTTACACTGAGTTTAGAACATTTTTTGTCTCCGCTAAGAAGCTGTTTGACACCTGTTGAGTCGCCTTACTGACGAACTTGACGGCCAGAATCCCACCACATGAGAAACTAATTTTCTTTTCTTTACACCATTAGTTGATAATTGTTCTAGAAAATATCACAAACAGAGAATCTCGATGGAAGTAATATTTTAATCATATAATCGCGATGTATTTGTTGACATTAAACAGTGAGGCATCGTAGCTGAAATTCACCTCTTATGGTAGACCACCAGCCAGCCTCAGACACTCAATTTGTTTTTTCCTCAACATCAGTGGAAAATATTAGAAACTTACGTCCCATAAGTAGTAATATTGTTACCATGAACCTGCCGTACATCAATCAGTAAAAGTGGTAGAGCAACGTAGGAAAATTGTACCCGTTTACGGGGAAAATCTTCATATATTTTCCAAAATAAACCATTTAGCCTAGTAATAATAATCAGAAAATAAGTATTACGTAATACATTGGTTATATAACATAAGCGTACAGGTAGATCTGATGTACATATGATTTTAGAAGGAACAGATCTAACGTTGGCAGTATTTAGTGGCTCGTTTTAGCGAATATCACACAAAGTTCGGTAATACTATAGTTGTGTTCAGTCCCCCAAGTATGCAGACACAGAGGCAGTGACCAATGACAGCGCATTCGTGTATCCAAGAGACACATTAGTGAATATCTATTGTAGAAAAATATATTCATTATCAACGATGTGGAGTTACTCAAGAAATTATTTACCCTTTCTCTTTAAAGGTCATAGATATGAGCCTGCACAGTAATGTGTAAGGATATTTTGCATTATTATTATCATTATTAACAGTACCTGATCAATAATAAGCCAGAGCTGACTTATTATTAATTATACACTTACTGCAATGATCAGTCACGTGATTGTAAAAGCTGATCTGCAGGTCGAAGTATCAGCAGAATTTCCTTCACACAGTTTGCATTCCCTCCCGCTCGCCAAATATCCTGGGAGCGTATCGTCTGTTTACACTGGCTGAGAACGTTGCCAAAAAGAGTTTTTGTGTGTGATATTTATCACAACTCTGACGTTAAACAGTTGGGATATGAAGGTTTTGTTGTGTACTTTACTTGTGTGTTCATGGTTTACGGGGTTAGGTTACGAGGGAGATTAATCCTTTAACTTAAACCACTACAAGACCTGCTGTAGACTCTACCTCTTCATCACACTAGATTCATCTCGTCTCTACAACGAAGGAACACACACACACACACACACACACACACACACACACACACACACACCGGGAGGCGGAGTCATTCATAAGAAGAGCTCAGAGAATAAGGTGACAGACAGCCTTGAGTAAACAGTGTCTTGTTCTCTTGTTGGCTTTGGTCCAGTGAGGAGGTCGGCCACTGTTGCCGAGGTAACTTTGTCACCCTAGCAGCCTAACCTAACCCAATCACCTGCTGACGTCACACCATTTATACTATTATTGTCAGAAGTAGCAGTAGTAGTAGTAGAGCGGTAAGGGTCGTCTGCAGTAGTCACTTATCCCAGGTCAGTGGTCGGGTTAAACACTTAAAGAGTGATCAGGTCAGTGAATTATTTCCAACACCGTAAACAAAATAAGGAAGACGATGATACTCATAAGTCGAAATAACTTGGGAAAATCTTTATATGTATTACGGAATATAAATGTGTAGGTGACGTGGCTATTATATATAAATATTCCTATGAGAACTGACTTGGTTTATAATTAACTTATTATATGTAATAAACACGCAGCACTTCACTTTATAGCTTCAGTTAAGGGTATATATAAAAATGTTCCCCCAGACTTATTTTTTATTATGATATAAAACATAACGTTAATATAGTGGCTATTTTTAGACCTTTATTAATGTGTGTGTGTGTATGGTGGGGGTCCAGTGTGTGGGGTCACCTCAGTGTAGTGGGGATCCAACGTGTTGGGGTCACCTCAGTGTAGTGGGGGTCCAGCGTGTTGGGGTCACCTCAATGTAGTGGGGGTCACCTCCACCTCGCAGTGGGGTCCAGTGTGTGGGTCACACCATTAGTGGGGATCCAATGTGTTGGGGTCACCTCAATGTAGTGGGGTCACCTCCCAGTTTAGTGGGGTCAGTGTGGGGTCACCTCAGTGTAGTGGGAGGGTCCAGCGTGTTGGGGTCACTCCAATTAGTGGGGTCCAACCTCAGTGTAGTGGGGGTCAGTGTGTGGGGTCACCTCAGTGTAGTGGGGGTCCAGTGTGTGGGGTCACCTCAGTGTAGTGGGTCCAGTGTGTGGGGTCACCTCAGTATAGTGGGGTCAGTGTGTGGGGTCACCTCACGTAGTCCCAGCGTGTTGGTCACCTCAATGTAGTGGGGTCACCTCCAATGTAACAGGTCACCTCAGTTTAGTGGGGGTCCAGTGTGTGGGGTCACCTCAGTGTGGGGATCCACCAGTGGGGTCACCTCAATGTAGTGGGGTCACCTCAGTTTGGTGGGGTCCAGTGTGGGTCACCCCAAAGTGGGTGGGGTCCAGCGTGTTGGGGTCACCTCAGTGTAGTGGGGGTCCAGTGTGTGGGGTCACCTCAGTGTAGTGGGGGTCAGTGTGGGGTCACCTCCAGTAGTGGGGGTCCAGTGTGTGGGGTCACCCAGTGTAGTGGGGTCCAGTGTGTGGGGCCACCTCAGTATAGTGGGGTCAGTGTGTGGGGTCACCTCAGCAGTAGGGGTCAGTGTGGGGTCACCTCAGTGTGGGGGTCCATGTGGGGTCACCTCAGTGTAGTGGGGGTCCAACGTGTGGGGGTCACCTAGTGTAGTGGGGGTCCAACGTGTGGGGTCACCTGAGTGTAGTGGGGGTCCAACGTGTGGGGTCACCTGAGTGTAGTGGGGGTCCAACGTGTGGGGTCACCTGAGTGTAGTGTTAATAACAAGACTGACCATCTCAACTATAACAATGACTCATAGTTTACATAATAAATAAAGTTTTTATTATAATTTCTACTTTACTTTCTATAATCTTGACACTTCCATTGTCAGAAAAAACTCACAAATTTTATCGTTTTCACAATATACTGTACATAGTATATTTCCTAATGAATAAATAAATATATATATATATATATATATATATATATATATATATATATATATATATATATATATATATATATATATATATATATATATGTGTGTGTGTGTGTGTGAAAATTATCCATTTTATTGCGTTTCTTCCCGTAAAGTTGGGTAAGAAAAACGGCCCTTGGGGGGAGCAAAGTAAAAAAAAAATGTTGCCAACTAGGATTTTCACCCGAGCTGAGCTGCCTGTCCTATGTGCTGTACAGCAAGGTGTACTGTATGTAGACCTCGCTGTGTACTTTAGAGTACAGTTGGCTCCACTGCTGCGTTTACCACTTAGCGTTACCAATCCTCTCTCTCCCTGCGGTGTGAACTTTAAAGTGCGAATTCACAGCATTCACTAGTGAGCAGGAGGGAGAGGGGGGGGGAGGGGTAGATATGTTCTGTGAGGGGGGTCAAGGTTCTGGGTCGGAGGAAGTGTGGATCAGTTGGGATAGATTACAATACAGATAAACGCTTCGACAAAAAATAACAACAGGATTTCCTCAACGGGGAGTAATCGTCCAGCACCATTCTACCAGACGAAAATAATTTACTTACAATAGGATGAATTCATGTTCTAAGTTGTGTGTTCTCTTGTAAAGCGGCGTTTATGAGCAAATGGATTATGGATATGTTTGAATATTGATGTGTTGTAGAAGGAACCAAGTTTAACCCCTTGACCACGAGATGGAACTTCCCCAGCTGAAAAAAAAAATCATCTGGCGGTAACCAGAATAAATTAGATGAAAACACAAAGTAGTGAAGGCCAATATATATTTATTGTAATATAATTTTGATGTGAATTAAAACAGTTCAGTTGGCAGCTGTCCGGTACAGAATCACTAAACCACACAATTCAGTTATGCCAAACAGTGAGGTTAAATGGGTAAAAAAATAACAATACATTATTATTATTATTATTAAACATAAATTTATGGTGCAGAATACAAGAGCCAGTACTTGCAGCAGCTATCAGGGTGTAGGAGTTAGTCTAGGCTACTGGACACAGAAGGAAGGACTACCGGAACAGAATAATACAGTACAGTCAAATCTTTTACGTGGTGAGGGTTGAGAGAACACTTTGACTGAGGCCCGTACAGGAACTACTGTAGCTCGTGGACTAAAAATATCCCGCACGTGTGAGGAAATGTTTGAGGACTGCGTCAGTGCACCCGTCGCTGTTAATGAGTGACCATTAACACGCAAACACAGTCAGTCAGACAGGAAATGAATAACGCTATAACTCCTCCGTACTGGTGGTAGACAACACTGAAGGTTCACGATACACAGAGTCCCATGTGCGAGCGTCCTGTGGCATCGAGCGACCAGGGCGTAGACGCGTCACCTACTTTCCAAAGCGACCCTGTGTCCCACCTGCCAGCGTGTTGAAGTGCCCAGGAGAAAACCTCCCATATATCAGAGGAGGATGGCAGGCAGTAGGCGAGTCTCACCACCTCTACGAGAAACTTCGGCAAGATCCAAAGTTTCATGAGTACGCCAGAAAGTATCCCACTACGGTTGACTGCATCCTTGCCAATAATCCACCGCCAGGGGTACTAAACATTTTTCTGCCTAATTTTATTCGATAGTTATGATCACCTTGATATTTTCGGTAACAGGCCTAGGACTATATTACCCAAGATGTTATAATCAAAACGAGTCTCTGAAATATTTCAGTAATCAAAGATTCAAGAAAATCCTTGACCGTGGGTGGATGACCGTCTGCTCCTAACACGAGGATTAGCGCGACTGAGGAAGCAAAGATCAGAATATTTGATCGCCGCTTCCTGGTCGCGCGTCTGGTTCCCGCTTCCTGGTCGCGCGTCTAGTTCCCTCTTCCTGGTCGCGCGTCTAGTTCCCGCTTCCTGATCGTGCGTCTAGTTCCCTCTTCCTGATCGTGCGTCTAGTTCCCTCTTCCTGATCGCGCGTCTAGTTCCCTCTTCCTGATCGTGCGTCTAGTTCCCTCTTCCTGATCGCGCGTCTAGTTCCCTCTTCCTGGTCGCGTGTCTAGTTCCCGCTTCCTGATTGCGCGTCTGGTTCCCTCTTCCTGATCGTGCGTCTAGTTCCCTCTTCCTGATCGCGCGTCTAGTTCCCTCTTCCTGATCGCGCGTCTAGTTCCCTCTTCCTGGTCGCGTGTCTAGTTCCCTCTTCCTGGTCGCGCGTCTAGTTCCCTCTTCCTGATCGTGCGTCTAGTTCCCTCTTCCTGATCGCGCGTCTAGTTCCCTCTTCCTGGTCGCGTGTCTAGTTCCCTCTTCCTGGTTGCTCGCAAACGCTTCACGGGTCTACGTGGGACACATTAGAGAAACATGTTTGTCCGCTACACTAATGTAGCTCGTTTACTCGTGTGGTCGCTCGATGCCGCAGGACGCTGGCACATGGGACACAGCCTTAGGGTAACGATACATCACAAATGAGCAGTAACAGATGTTTGTCAACAGCTGGGTTCAAAGAAGAAGTTCCTGCTGGTGAACGTGTTGGTGGTGGTCCTAAACGCTGGTCTGGGCATCCTGGTGAACATTGCTGCCTTCACCAACACCAGTTTCAGGCGTCACCACTACCTCACCTTCCCCATAGATGCTGGCAACGTCTCCCTGGTGAGTCTCTTTCTCTGAGTTTGGTGAGTGATGGGGAGTTGAATGGAAGTAAGAGTGATGTCAGTCGAGTTACAATCCTCCCCTTTATTTTAAAGCTCCTCTGTCTGTTATTCTTTACATATATTCACAGTTCATTACTAACTTTTATGGTATTCTTCCGGCGAGTTAAGCCGCTGGGCTATCTATCTACGTGACTACTTTCAGTTCTTGGTCTGAGTAACTGTAGCAGGAGGTGTAAGGCTGAGCTGGTGGATGGCTGGTAGGTGTGTTTACTGAATTTTTCTGTCAAACACGAGCCGTGATTAAAACAAAACAGTTGTTTTATTTGGCGGACAGTCGACGTCACCGCTGGGTGCTGGAGGTGTGCTGCCCTCGGCGTACGGGGTGATGGACAGTAGCGGTAACTACACAACGTATGCCTTTGTGTGGCCAGCACAGGAGTGGGATGTCGTCACTGCCGAGTCCCGCGTGTGTCTGGCCACCCAAGCCTCCGTGGAACATCTCTTCTGGGTGGCGTGGCAGGCGGAGACCTGGACGGGACCAATGTCTGTGTCCATCTTCGTGCCAGGGTCTGACTACGCCGTGGCGGCAGCTATGGTGTCTTACCTGAGGAGGTGTTTCCCCAGCGTCCAGGAGCGAGTGTCCTTTCACTTGGTGCACACCAGGACGCGGCCTCCCCGATCATCTCCACACCTAGAGATGCTCCACCTCACCTGTGAAGAGCCCGAAGACTCTAATAACGTCCTGTTGTCCCTTAGGGATAAAAACGAGCCGAGGGAGCGACGCTACCCGCAGAACCTGATGAGGAACATAGCGAGAAGAGCTTGCCCCTGTGAGTACTCCATCACTGTCGACGTTGACATGCTGACGCCGCCCTATATGGCCGATAACCTCACCGGCTTCCTCTCCGGCGTGAGGAGTGGAGAGCCGTGCTGGAAGTGTGCCTTCGTCGTGCCCGTATACGAGCTGCACAACACAGTCACTTACCCGCCGGAGGACAAGATGGAGCTGCTCAGGCTTGTACTGAAGGGCCTCGCGCGACGTTTCCACCTTAAGGTAACATAATATTATCCTCGACTCATAACGCTTCCTTAATAAGTGTTTCATATACCAAGTCTCAGGAGTCTTAACTACTATTCCTATTATAAAAAATGTAGAACTTGAAACGTTGCTTTTGCTTTCAGAGGTTAGGTTAAGTACAGTATGTGGGCCTTTGTGTTACTATATCCCTGACATTCCTTCAGGTGTATGTCAAGAATCAGGGTAACTCTCACCTGGAGAAGTGGGAGATAGAGCCTCGTGAGACAGACTCCGGCCACTACAACATCCTCTACAACATCACCACCTACCAGGAGTTCTGGGAACCCATCATGGTCCTACCCTACACAGCGCCTCTCTTCGATGAGCGCTTTATAGGCTACGGCTTTACCAGAAGCAGCCAGGTACTACTTCTTCCTTCTTTTTCTCCTCTTCTCTTCTTCCTTCCTCTTTCTCCTCTTCTCTTCTTCCTTTACCTTTTTCTTCTCCTTCCTCCTCTTTCCCCACAGGCTGCCCCCGCACTGTCTTATAAACAATACTACTTACTGACAAGAATAAATAAATGCAACATCTTTCTACGGGATTCCGGGTTCGGTGTCAGGATTCAGGTTTTAGACGTGGGTTTGAGAGTGAGACTAACGTGTGATATATCTCCCCCCACCTTTCCCCCGGGCCACAGGTGTATGAGATGCACTGCCGAGGGTTCCAGTTTCATGTGTTGGACAAGGCCTTCCTCACGCACCGAGACTTCCAGACCACCTCCAACTACCCCCCGACTCGCCTCGCCCAGATTGAGGTTTGTTGTTACTGCACTGTCCACTTCCTGTTGCTGTAGTACATTATTGTTATTACTACTACAAAAACTACTACTTTTACGGTTGTCATTGTACTACTATCATTTCAACTCCTACTACTAGTACTTCAGATCCCTGTACAGTATCATAATTGGCAAGATGATCAGTTTCGTCATGTATAACTGTAGTGATTAATGTAGTTTTCAGTGTCCACCTGACCTGACCTGCACGTTTCTCACTCAAGAGGTGTTTTATTTTTCTTTCCTGGAGGTAGATTTTATGTATAATCAGGTAGTTTCGCGAAATTAAGACAGATTCGCGTAAAATTAAGGTAGATTTACGCAAATTCAATAACAATCACGTGAACTCGAGACAAATTAGTGTGAAATAAATAGAAACAAAATGGTGTTGAAGAGCCTAAGATTTTTACCTTATACACAGATCAACAAAGTGCGCTACCAGATGTTCAAGAGAGAGTTACACGCCAGTCTCGGCCTGTCACCACCGTCACCACTGAAAGGACCTCCTCTCCGTCAGCAGCTCCTCGCCCACAAGTCTCGCTCTCACCACACCACCAGGATCTCCTCCCCTAGGAAACTACCTCCAGCTGACCAAAGCAAAACAAAAGAAGATCACTGAGCGTTTAAAGTCAAGTTGTCTAGTGTAAGGGACTAAGGCTAAGACTAAGACTAAGACCCCGTTCGTTGAAGTACCTGAACACGATAAAAAAATAACAGTGCCTTTTGCGTGGTCTTATAAGTCCCTATCTAAGTGAATAAACTAAGACTTGGTGAACAGTGCTTAAAGACCCTGGTTGTTGAAGCTTCTGACCACGGCTCAAGGTTCATACGATGGATATTCTTCCTCGTTGGAAGTGTGAGAACATATCTAACTGGTTGACTTAAGATTAAACACAGAGGCTAGGGTAAAAAATGACATCAAAATTACACAAAATCTCTATTGTAACCAGAAACGTTCACGTAGCACCTGTCAGGAGGCAAAATTAACATGTAAATTATGTAGAAAGTTTGTAATGTTAGTTTCGTACCATAACTAGTTGGAAATTTAAATAAATGTTGTTTAATTGGAAGCTATTATTTTGATGTGATTGTTAATCGTTGGCTCATGTGTTTTTATCTTCAGTCAAGTCAAGTCAAATAAAAGTAAAAGGTTAGTAATATCCTTAATCACTAGGGAAATTTATTCTGTAAACTTTGAAGAATTCCACGCTGGGGTGTAACTCGTTTATATCTTGCTCTACATCTACACCATCAGTTGGAAAATATATTTATATAATTTATGTCAAAGTGAGTATAATCAGAAACCAATAAATTGAAGGACGAAGGAAAAATAATTTAGTTTATGCTTAAAACTTTCCTGGTACTGAACCGTTTCGCATCAAAGCGTTACGTTTTCTTTTATGCTACAATTGTTTAAAAGAAAACGTCATAGCTTCTAGCAGTAAATCAACTAAAATGAATATACGCTACCTCTATCACACCTTACCTGACGCTCTTTATTTATTCAATCTTATATCATAGAAGATTATATAAAAGTTTGGTTTCGTTGAAATATAAGAAATATAAAATTTAACACCTCTGTTATTTAATCATCTTTTTCGTCTATAATCGAATTTTTGGAGTACCTGGAAGTGTACCTCATCCCATAAAGTGGTACTCTGATGCACTAGCCAATACACCACTGCACCACAAAGAGTTATTATCAAAGTATACATTGTTAAAGTCTTCGCTGATGTGATGTCCTGTCTCTTAGTTACCAGAAATCAATCAGCTTCTAGGAACTGCCACGGTTCCTATAAAGTACACAATGCTAAAAAGGCTATAAGATAATGTACTCAAGGATATAAAATAAAGTACTTAATATGATAATTATTTATTGTTTTTGTGGTATAAAAGTTAATAAATAGAGACGTACACAAAATATGAAGGATAACAAGTACATGTAGTATAAGCTACGACAGTCAGTGAAGAAGTCAGTCAATAAGTTAGTCAGTCAGCGAGTTATTTATTAAATTAGTGAGTGAGCGAGTTTTAGTCATTCAGTGAGTGAGGAAGTCAGTCACTCGGTGAGAAAGTCGATCAGTTAGTGAAGAAGTCAGCGAGTCAGTCCGTAATTGAGAAAGCCAGTCTGTGATTCAGTCAGCAAAGTAGTCAGCGAGTCAGCCAGTAATGGTATTGATAGACTTGACTGATGCAGTTCAGAGTAGAGCCACATCTCTATATACAGTTCCCGTCTGAGCTTGAGAGATGATGTGAAATAACACTGGCGCAGTACAAGTTCAAGTCTGACACCCACTACCGAACCCCTGAATCCCTGGAACCGCGAACCATTGGCGGTGATAATGAAGCCTTTTTTTTAAGTAACGAATCGTGAATTTTCTGAAGGTTTATACAGTATTATTATTTATCTTTAGTATTAGTATTTATTATTTTATTATTAGGTCACCTGGACTATGAGAAATGTCTCGTCTTGTAAGTTTTCCATGAATTTCCATCTCCTAAGTCCAGATGAAATGTTTGTTTGTTCGGGTCTAGATATTAAGTGACGTGTTATAAATATTGTAAAGTTTTAGTAATTTATAATCATGGCTCCGTGACCTGCCGCGTGCGTTGTGTAGTGGTGACAGACCTGACCAACACACAAGACGTAAACACAAGGACTGTCAACCTCTGTACCTGACACCCAGGTACCACAGGGCTACCAGCCTCTGCTAAATATATATTCGTATTAATCATTAAGAAAAGTGAAAGTAGTTCTCCTTGACCAGTGAGAGGCAGTGAGGGTACAGCACACTGAAGGCTACTCCTCTAGACCAGTGAGGGGCAGTGAGGGTACAGCACACTGAAGGCTACTCCTCTAGACCAGTGAGGGGCAGTGAGGGTACAGCACACGGAAGGCTACTTCCTCTAGACCAGTGAGGGGCAGTGAGGGTACAGCACACTGAAGGCTACTCCTCTAGACCAGTGAGAGGCAGTGAGGGTACAGCACACTGAAGGCTACTCCTCTAGACCAGTGAGGGGCAGTGAGGGTACAGCACACTGAAGGCTACTCCTCTAGACCAGTGAGAGGCAGTGAGGGTACAGCACACTGAAGGCTACTCCTCTAGACCAGTGAGGGGCAGTGAGGGTACAGCACACTGAAGGCTACTCCTCTAGACCAGTGAGAGGCAGTGAGGGTACAGCACACTGAAGGCTACTCCTCTAGACCAGTGAGGGGCAGTGAGGGTACAGCACACTGAAGGCTACTCCTCTAGACCAGTGAGGGGCAGTGAGGGTACAGCACACGGAAGGCTACTTCTCGGTACACAAAGAAACATTAAAGGTCGGCACTTGACTCGACCACCTTCACTTCCCCAACTATGGAGTTAGGTACCCATTCACAGCTGGGTGTACTGGGGGTGCCCCGGGTACGAACCAGCGTCCCTTAGGACTGGAGTCGAGCACCACATCCACTCGACCACCGCACCCATTATAATATATACTACACTACATTGAATAATAAATAGTTGCTCTGTTGAAAAAATAAAATAATAAATAGAATTTACAGAACAGATCATGGAATACGAACACGAGTTTACACCACAGTGAGAAATGCATAAATGCCCAAGAGTGGCGACACGACACAACACAACACAACACCACTGCAGCCACCAGAGGTACAGTATGGTCTCAGTGGTGTTGTTTTAGTCATACTGTTATCCTTAGGTGGAAGACTTTGTTGTGAGGCCAGAGGTATGACGTGTATCAACACCCCATCACACACTCAGCAGAAGAACCTGGACTTCCTTTTTCCTTTATGTTGGTTAGATGGTTCACAAAGCGTCCTCCTGGGTATTGGCAAGTTGGTTGGTACCGGGAATATGAAATCCTACCACGTCCTGCACGTTGAAGGGGCATGGGTACATCTCCTTGCAGGTTCCTACGCCGGCGAACACTTGGGCATCGGGCTTCGTCCATGTGTGGTTGGGATTCCTGCAGGAGGTAGGAGGAGTTAATGTTACCCTTACAAAATCTTGACTGAGCTTTGTGTTCCCGGTTGTTTGGATTCGTCTAGAACCCAACAGTACATCAAATACTCTCCCAGCTTTCTAACTCACTAAAGGATCACCCAATGATTAATCACCTTAATTTATTTTACCTGATGATTAAACACCCCAAAGCTAACCTAAAGTAACCCGGATTGAGGATCGAACCCGGAACACAGTAGCAGGGGGGACCCTTACCTGAACCAAGAAGCGATGAGTCTCTCTGTGAGGTGTTGGTGGTCTCTGTTCGCCCAGGCGTCAACATCACATACAAATTGCATTGGACAGTCCAGCATGAATGTTGACGCGTCCATCTGTGGAGGTGAACCAGGGTGTTAGTGTGTGGTGAACCATACTGTACATATAGTGTATGGTAAACTCCCAAAGATACAGCACACGGTGTCGTAAGCTAACTGTAGCGATCTCAAGACTCTGAGGGTGTGTTAAAGGCCTCCGGCATGGCTTCGGGATGATTATTATTATTATTATTATTATCATTATTATTATTTGTCATGGGTTGCGTTGGGCCTCCCGCACAACCCATCCCAAATGTTTGTTTACGGTAGAGATAAAGTAACCGGCCAGCCATGACTGGAACATGTAGGGGGGGGGGCAGGCCAGTGAGACAGTGGTGTACTGTTCATCACTTCACGCCTCAAAAAACCAATTTAGCCAGTGGGCTTTAGACCTTGGGTTAGAGAAGACCTCCTGCTCCGCGGACTTAAGAACAGGGGCCATACAGTCCTACCAGTGCTACGGGTCTGTCTGTGCAAATCCCCGAGATTGTTGTTAAGTCCAGCGACAAGTTAACACACCCTGTAAAGGAAGTGATCAATGGTGAGGGCCTGTTGCTACAAGAGCACTCCAGGCCGGCCTAATAGATCTAAACGATTAATTCTCCAGGCTGACAAACTCTCCCTTATAACTTACGGTACTGTGGCGTGAATGCGAGTGACTGACCTATCCATGCAAATTATAATTTCCAGTGTATGGAATTGTGCCAAATAAACGTAAGTGCAATCATCTGCCCGTATCTGTGATCCCTCTATTATTATTATTATTACCAAGGGTAATGACTGATTGGTTATGACAAAGTATAACCAATAACTTACAGTAGATGGATGTTGGAAGTTAATGGAATTAATTAAATCATCATTTATCAAGTACACAACTCATTGAATGCTTGAAGCAGAGCGAAATTCTACGTAGTGATACACCATAATCTCTTGGGTGAGTAACCAGTGTGAAGGTATCCGAGTTCTACGGTAAGAAAACTACTTTCCTGCATTTAAAACGTAACATTATTATTATTATTCACAGCGCTTCCCGTCCAACTGTTCTCAATACCCCGGGACAGGCACTGGGGACACTCTTGTATTTATTATTCACAAGTGTAGCTTCTGCTGCACTGGTTATTGATGTGCTCACAGCTCACCTGTCTGGAGGTGGTCATACACACGCCTCACCAACAGGTAACCGGAGACTCGACAAATCTTCCTACATCGTAATCGAGTGCTAAGTGACTCGGCAAACACACATCAGGACGGATGCCATCTTCAACACCTTACATGATCCTGTATCGATATTGAAACAGTTTATTTAGCCAGAAGAACCTCCATAATTATGGTCAATGTCCAAACGCCTCTCCACCCGAACCCCGAGATTCAGACTCGTGAACCCGAAACAATTATGAACAGAATAATGCATCAGTGTCTACTGCTTCGAGGAGGGAGAGAGAAGGTGGGTGGGGGCGGCGGATGGTGGGTGGGGGAGGCGGATGGTGGTTGAGTGTTGGGGAGGGCGGCGGTGCATGGGGAGGGCGGTGGGGGATGGCAGTCAGTACCGGTAACTTCCGGATTCATTTCTCGAGGGACGGAGGCGAGGTATTAATTCACCTCAAGCATCTTCTGGCGTCAGTAATGTAACCACTGACCTACTGGCATCTTGTCATACTTATTTACTATTAAAGGAATGTAGCAGTCGAGTGGTTAAATCGCTCGCCTCCTGTTCCAGAGGTCGGTAGTTCGATCCCCAGGCACTACCATTTCATCCAGCTGTAAGTGGGTACCTAAGTCCACAGCTTGGGGAAGTGAAGGCGGTGGAAAGCAGTATCGGCCATGCTGCCTCCTTGTGTACCGAAGGCTTAGTATGCAGTGTGCTATATCCTCACCGTCCCTAACGGCTACTCATGACTATGGAACCCACTTTCACTGTCAACTCCAGGATAAAATCAGATGGAGGTTTGATTTCCTAAGTTGTGCTTCTGTGTGTGTGTGTGTGTGTGTGTGTGTCTGTGTGTGTGTCTGTGGGTGTACTGTATCTATGGGATAGATATATGAATTAGAAGTTTATATACATTCAATTCCACGGAATTATAAGACTAGATATAAAATTGACCCGAATGTGTGACCAACCTCTAATTCTTTGGGGGAGGTGGCTGGGGTGGGGCAGGGGGTGGGGAGAGCGGGGGTGGCGGGGGGAGAGGTGGGGGGTGGGTCTTTACTCAGATAACGGTGATTCAGATCTCACTTGTTGTCTTAGTTGTCAACCTTGAGTATTCTGATAAGGAAGAAGAAGCTGTTTATACCGTAACAGAGACGAGTCTAGTCCTCAACACAGACGACCCACAAACTTCATTATTTTCTTCACTTATCTTCATTTATTACCTTATTGATATAATTTTCTACTTATTTCTTAATTTATTTATTTATTCATTCATGTATTTATTATTTATCATCGCTTGACGTAGAAATACAAGTGACGTCATCTGGCAGCATACCTGACAGCCATTTCCGTAACGACAAATAAAAACTGGATGACTCTTACTAGTTCTTTCCTCCCCTCACCAACACCTATCATCTCCAACCAATTATCTATAAACATCACTTCACAATATATTTTTTCTCCTAACTGGTTCATTCTTACGTAAATTATACAACACGTTGACAATTATACCAGTTTTGTTTATCATCGGAATCTGACACAAATAATAAGTTAACTGGTCAGGTTAGGAACAAAACTCCCTCTACACAATACTATTTAGCGTCTATTTGGGGATCATTTGAGATGGATTTTTCACACAGTTCACCTAACGAGCCACACAGTCCACCTAACGCGTCATATAGTTCACCTAACGAGCCACACAGGTCACCTAACGAGCCACACAGTCCACCTAACGCGCCACACAGTCCACCTAACGCGTCACACAGTTCACCTAACGAGCCACAGTTCACCTAACGCGCCACACAGTTCACCTAACGCCACACAGTCCACCTAACGCGCCACACAGTCCACCTAACGCGCCACGCGTCACACAGTTCACCTAACCCACACAGTTCACAACGCGCCACAGTCCCTAACGCGCCACACAGTCCACCTAACGCGCCACACAGTCCAACGCGCACACAGTCCAACGCGCCACACAGTCCAACCAACGCGCCACACAGTCCAAACGCGCCACACAGTCCAACTAACGCGCCACACAGTCCAACCAACGCGCCACACAGTCCAACTAACGCGCCACACAGTCCACCTAACGCGCCACACAGTCCACCTAACGCGCCACAGTCCAAACGCGCCACACAGTCAACTAACGCGCCACACAGTCCAACCAACGCGCACACAGTCCACCAACGCGCCACACAGTCCAACCAACGCGCCACAACGCGCCACACAGTCCACCTAACGCGCCACACAGTCCACCTAACGCGCCACACAGTCCACCTAACGCGCCACACAGTCCACCTAACGCGCCACACAGTCCAACCAACGCGCCACACAGTCCAACCAACGCGCCACAGTCCAGCCACCGCGCCACACAACGCTCCACCTAACGCGCCACACAGTCCACCGCCACACAGTCCACCTAACGCGCCACAGTCCAACCTAACGCGCCACACAGCGCCACACAGTCCACCTAACGCGCCACACAGTCCACCTAACGCGCCACAGTCCAGCGCCACAGTCAACTAACGCGCCACACGTCCACCTAACGCGCCACACAGTCCAACCAACGCGCCACACAGTCCAACTAACGCGCACAGTCCAACCAACGCGCCACACAGTCCACCTAACGCGCCACACAGTCCACCTAACGCGCCACACAGTCCAACTAACGCGCCACACAGTCCAACCAACGCGCCCACAGTCCACCTAACGCGCCACACAGCGCCACAGTCCAACGCGCCACACAGTCCACCAACGCGCCACACAGTCCACCTAACGCGCCACACAGTCCACCCGCGCCACACAGTCCACCTAACGCGCCACAGTCCAACCAACGCGCCACACAGTCCACCTAACGCGCCACACCGTCCAACTAACACGTCACACTGTCCAACCAACACGTTCACACAGTCCACCTAACGAGCCACACAGTCCAACTAACGCGCCACACAGTCCACCTAACGCGCCACACTGTCCAACTAACGTGTCACACAGTCCACCTAACGAGCCACACAGTCCACCTAACGCGTCACACAGTCCACCTAACGCGCCACACAGTTTTTTTACACCTTGATTAACTGCCCGAGACTGAGAAGAAAAGAATTTATCTCAATCTCAGGCCATAACTTTCTCCTACTAAAAGACGAAAACAATTTAACATCTGAACAACGGGTGTAAAACAATGAATAAATTTTTGCAGTGGATAATGAAGGATTAATCGGAGAAAAATAGTTTAAACCGGTGGTAAGAGAAATCAAGTGAGATTATTCAGGCGTTAAATGTCACTCTTGAATTCTTGATCCCCGAGCTCCGAAACCTGAATCCTAAAACCGAACCCAAAACCGAATCCTGAACCCCAAACCCCATGTATTGCTAACGACACCCAACTTCATATAAATTAATTCTGAATGTTACTGATATTATTTGTACAGTTTATAAGACTTGGGTAATAATATACAGTACTTGTTGCTTAGGATGTGGGACGGTACTTTGAGTCTGTTTTGGTCAAATATCTTTTTTCCTAGTTTTAATATTGTCATTTCTTATTTTCTTATTTTTCTTATTATTGTTCTTGTTCTTCTTGTTCTTCATCAGTGTATAATGCTCGAGTGTCGTGTAGAGAAGTTTGACCTAGATAGTGTGAGTGTATGTAGGTGACCTGTCTGTTTCATTAGCCTTCAGGTGACAGTCGTGTGTGTGTGTGTGTGTGTGTGTGTACATCATCATCTCACAGGTGAAAAACAAATATTTTAGTTATTAATATTTGTTATCATCAATTATTGTAATTATCATAATCGTTACCATTAACATAATTCCTCTCTTGATCACACACATTAACCAGTAAGTAATTTAACATAATAACACTGTT